CACATCTTTTAAAATATTCTGTATGAGAAAATACAAGTAAGGCACTTTTGCTGCATACCAAGGAACTATAATTGTCTCCAGGAAAAGCACTTGTGGGATTGTTTGAGTTGCAAGCTGAACTAGCTGATTTTATCATAGAACATGATTTTTATTAAAACATCTATTGACAGAAAAACTGGTTATTTAGACTTGGGTATCTGGCAAATATTTTCTCAAAAGTAAATGAAGTGAAACTATCAGTTCAGGGAAAACAACTGATAGTGTTTGTCATTAACGTAATTCAGTTTTCAAGAAAAAAGTACGAATTTTTAAAAAAGTTACATCATCATAATGACCTTAACAGCTTCCAAATACTTAAAGATTCTTCTGATGAGATTGGAAGTGATATTAACAAATGAGATTTTTTGACAGTGTGGGATGACACAGATCAACACTTGGAAGATCTGTGTAACTCAGTGAACCAATATTGCCAGGTGACCACTGTAGGATGTTAAAATCATATATAGTTTAAAAGATTCATTCAAAGTACAACAAAGACCAATAGATTTTTCTCTTCTTTTTTAAATTTAACAGCTTTTTCCAGGTATAATTGACACATAAGCTGCACACGTTTTTACACATGAGAACACACATGAAACTATTACAACAATCAAGATAATGGACATGAATGTCACTCCCAGAAGTTTCCTTATACTCCTCTGCAACCTCTCCCTTCTGCCCCTCTCACCCTCCACCTCCACTCTCCCATTTTCTGGGCTACCAATGACTTCCTTTTTCTCACTAAAGATTAGATTGCATTTTCTGGAATTTTATATAAATGGGATCATATAGTATGTACTATACTTTGGTCTGATTTCTTTCACTGATCATAATTATGTTGAGAGTCATGCATGTCGCATGTATATCAACAGTTAATTTCTTTTTATTCTGAGTAGTATTCCATTGTATGGACATATCGTGAATCGTTTATCCATTTACCTGTTGATGGACGTTCATGTTGTTTCCAGTTTTTGCCTATTACAAACACAGTTGCTACCAACATTTGTGTACAAGTCTTTGTGTGAACACATGCTTTCATTTCGTTTGGATAAATACCTAGGAGTAGAAAGCCTGGGTCACAGGTCAATATGTGTTGAACTTTTTAAGAAACTGCCAAAGCATTTTCCAAAGAGGATGTACTATTTTACATTCCCAATAGTGGTGTATGAGCGTTCCAGTCACTCCACATTCTCACCAACACTTGGTATGGATAGTCTTTTTATTTCACCATTAAATAGGCAGGTAGTGGTATTTCATTGTGGTTTTAATTTGTATTTCCCTAATAACTCACAGTGTTGGGTATCTTTCTGCGTGCTTATTTGCCATTTGTATGGTTTCTTTGGTGAAGTGCCTATTTAAACTTTATGCCCATTTGTTTATTGGGTTACTTATTTTCTTATTATTGAGATATGAGAGTTTTTAAAAATATACATTCTGGACACAAGTTCTTTATCAGATAGGTGATTTGCAAATAGCTTTTTCAGTTTTGGGCTAGTCTTTTCATTTCTTAACAGTGTCTATTGAAAAGATGTACTTAATTTTGAAGAAGTTCTATTTATCATTTTTTTCTTTCAAGGATAGTGCTTTAGGTATCATATCCAAGAAATCTTGCCTAGCCTAAGGTCACAAATATTTTTTCCTGCTTTCTTCCAGAAGTTTTGTTTTATATTTAGATCTATGATCCATTTTGTGTTTTTACATATAGTATGAGATTTTATTGATTTATTTTTGCCTAAGAACACCCAAATGTTCCAGAAGTATTAGCTGAAAAGTCTTTCTTTTCTCCACTGAATTGCCTTTGTCCTTTGCTGAAGATCAACTGACCATAGAGACATAGGGGATTTTTTCTGAACTCTTTTCAGTTTCACCTATCTGTTTCTTTCTCTTTATACCAATTCTATATTATCTGGGTTAATGTAGCTTTATAATGAATATTAATATCAGGTAGTGTAGCATATGTTCTCCAACTTTTTTCTTCTGTTTCAAAGTTTTTTTGGTTATTCTAGAAGCTTTGCATATCTATACAAATTTTACAATCATTTTGTCAATTACTAAAGAAAGCCTGCTGGGATTTTGATTGGGACTGTGTTGAATCTATAGATCAATTTGGGGGAGAATTGACATTTTTACAGTATTGAGTCTTCTGATCCTTGAACATGGTATATCTTTCTGTATCTTCTTAAATTTCTTTCAGCATATGTTTTCAGTGTACAACTTGTATGGCTTTTATAAAACTTATCTCTAATTATTTCATGTTTTTGATGTTATCTTAAATGGTATTTTTAAATCCAATTTCAGATTGTTCATTATTTGTATAATACAAATACAATTGACTTTTGTATATTGATTTTTATATCCTGTAGTCTTACTGATCTCATTATTTCCAGTAGCTTTCTGTAGATTCTGTAGGATTTTCACCATAGATCATGTCATCTGCAAATAAAGCCAGTTTTACTTCTTCCTTTCCAATTTGGATGCATTTTTATTTCTTTTTCTTGCCCTACTGCACCGGCTAGACCCCCCAGTACAATGTTGAAGAATTTATGAGTGCAGAAATCCTTGCCTTGTTCCTGATCTTAGAGTGAAATCATTCTGTTCTTTACCATTAAGTATGTTGCTTTTTATAGATACTTTCTATTAAGCTGAGTAATTTTCCTTGTATTCCTAGGGATGGATACTGGATTTTGTCCAAAGCTTTTGCTGCATCTATTGAAACAATCATACAGGTTTTTTTCCTTAGTCTTAGTTAATATGGTAAATTACATTGTTTGATTTTCCAATGTTAATTCAACCTAGCATTCCTGGGACAAGCCCCCATTTGGTCACAATGTATTATCTATTTTACATATTGTGGAAGAAAAATAGAATTTTGTTAAGAATTTTTACATCTATGTTTTTAAGTATATTGGTGTGTAGTTTTCTTTTCTTGTAACATCTTGGGTTTGGGTATTAGAGTAATGCTGGCCTTACAGAATGAGCTAGGAAGTATTTCCTCTTCAATTTTCTGGAGGACTTTTGTAGAATTGGAATTACTTTTTCCTTAAAAATTCACCAGATTAACACTATATAAAAGAAAGCTGGAGTGTGGCTGTACTACCATCAGACAAAGTACACTTTAGAGCAAAGAATATTACCAGGAAAAAAGAGAGTCATTTATAAAGCGAATCACTTCATAATGATAAAATAATTTTCACAATCAATTTCATTAAGGATAAATTCATCTAAATAACAGAACAATTCTAAATGTTTACGCAACTAATAGCAGAGCTTCCAAATACATGAAGCAAACAGTAATAGAACAGCAAGGAGAACTAGAAAAATCCATAATTACAGACAGAGATTTCAACACTCCTCTGTTAATAATTAATAGAATGAGTAGACAGGAAATCAGTATGCTCTAAATCCTCCAGGATTTACAAGATTCGAACCATAATATCAATCAACTTGATGTGACTGACACTTGTGGAACATTTCACCCAACAACTGCAGAATACACATTTATTTTAAATGCACACTGAACACTTGCCAAGACAGATCATACTCTGGGCCACAGAACAAGTCTCAAATTTAAAATGATTCAAATTATACAAAGTATGCTATCTGATCATAATGGAATTAAATTAGAAATCAATAATAGAAAGATCTCTGGAAAATCCCTCAATATTTGGAGACTACATGGCATATTTACAAATAACCCATGGATCAAAGAGAAAAATCTTTAGGGAAATTAGAAAGTATTTTGAAATGAAGGAAAATGAAAAACAGTAAATCAAAATGTGTGAGATGCAGCCAAAGCAGTACTTTGAGAGACACATCCCACCAAATGCCTATATTACAAAAGAAGAACGATCTTAAATGAATGACCTCGGTTTCCAAGAAAACCAGAAAATCATTTTTAAAAAACTTAAAAAATTAAAACAAAAGCAGAAAAAAGGCAATAAATCTAAGAGCACAAATCAATGAATTAGAAAACAAAAGCAGGAGTAAATCTATGACAGCAAAGCTGGCTTTGAGATTTGAGATCAGTAAAGTTGATAAGCCTCTCCCCAGATTGATCAGGAAAAAAGATGAGATAAATTACCAATTTCAAGAATGAGAGGGTGAGATTCTATAGATATTAAAAGGACAATAAAGGAGTATTGTTAACAGATTTACATCAATAAAGTCAACAACTTAGATCTTTCCACGACTAATAAAGTTCGCTCAAGGGGCCGATAGAGCGGCTTAGGGGTTAAGGTTCCTGAGCTCTGCCTCCGTGGACCAGGGTCGGCTGATTGGGATGGGGGCGGGGGGCGGACCTACACGCCGCTCACCAAGCCACGCTGTCGGGACATGCCACATAGAAAATAGAGGAAGACTGGCACAGATGTCAGCTCCGGGTCAATCTTCCTCACCAAAAAATCCCCAACAAACAAAAAAAAGTTCGCTCCAGAAGAAACACTAAATATTTGTTGAATTAGGGAATGTTAGCTATTATTATGGGCAGGGTGCTGAGTCTGGGCCTTAGAGATAAAACAGGCATTTTTATCCTCGGGCAGCTCTCAAGTCACTGGAGAAGAAAAACATCAAGGAAAGCTTAATACTGATCGGCGCAGAAGAGTGAGGAAAAACTGGGTCTGGAACAGCTTCTCTGAGCAGTCACCTGGCGGAGACACAAGGGACGAGAAAAAATGTTGATGAGAACAAGAGCTGCAGCGCATGAGCTTGAGCCGGGGCCCAGAGCAGCCCTCCGCGGCCGGCCGTCTGCCGACTGCCCAGGTCCCCTCGTCTCGGGCAGGCCCAGACCTTCCCCGCGGCTCGCGCTCACCGCGGCTGACCGCACACCTCCACTCAGCCGCGAGCGCAGCACTCGTGCGCCTGCGCATTGGAGCACAGAGCTCGTAGGCGAGGGCGAGGCGGCTGCCGGAAGTGTGACCTCCTGCTCCCTGCTCGCTGTTCCCATCCGGGGTCACGTCGGTCTTCCGGGTGTTTCTGACAGGGCTTTCGACGCCGCTCTTTCGGCGACTTTTTGGTCTTCCGCTTCTTGCCACTGCCCCCAACCTCCCACCTCCGTGCTGCCCCTGCCTGTTGTCGTGTCGCTCCGCCCGGGCCGCCGAGCCCGGAGTTCAGATCGCGGGCCGGAGCCGGAGCCGGGCCTAGCCATTCCGCGGGCCACCACCTCCTCTGGCTCGGGCGAAAGCCGCGCCGTCGCCGGCCCGGCCTGGGAGCTCCCGGGCGGCAGTGCCGGCGGCCCCGCTTAGCCCTGCCCGAGGACACCGTGAGTTAGGGGGCTTCGGAGAGGGACGCCGCCCTGGGGGCCCAGGCCGGGGGCGGGGCCTGGGGAACTTTCTCTGAAACTCTGCTGTTTTGCTTTGCGTGGGAGGCTCGGGCCGTTTCTCCGCGATCCCGGGCTGCGGGGCGGACCCGGCTGCTGCACTTTCTGAAGAATCTCAGGACCGCTTACTCTTTCCACGCCTTTCTCCTCCTCGCGCCCCGTCCTCCGTCTAGGACCGAGAAGGAAGATAGGCTCGGGACCCCTGCATGGTGTTTCAAAGGGTGGTGAAGAACTAAGGTAAATATCTGGATTAATAATTTAACGTTTCAGGCTCTTAGTTAAACGGGCATGGCATTGCCTCGCTCTCCGTTTCACAGGGAAGTGCGCGGGGTGGGACTCCGGCGGCTCGTCCCACACCCTCCGATCCCGGTCGGCCTTCGTGGGTAGGCTCTGCGCCTCTTTCTGGGCCAGAACACGGGGGGTTCGTGTGTCTCACGACTTGTGGACGGTCCAGGTGCCCTGTCTTGTTCTCTCTCGCTCGCTCTTTGTTTAAAATAGCGGTTCTTTGGGTTGCGTGTACCAACAGGGCGAACAAAACAAGAGACAAAGAGAAACTGTACAACTCAAGCTCAGTTGGCAACTTGTTTTCAGATGCGTGGTGTATGATTTTGTGAGGAAAGGGATCATAGCTGAACGCTGTGTGTTTGTGTTACGGTAACATACTGTTTCTGTAAATACCATCAGAGTGTGTGGTTTATAACCACAAGGCTTTTAACATGTACTGATTATAAGCAGCCAAGAGGTTCTTGATGCGTGCTGATGGCCAATAACAGTAACGTCACTTTGTCGGGGTGATACCCCGATTATGCCTGATCTGGAAATGTTGTGTAACAGGCTCCATGTGAAACAGTCCGTTTATCGGTCATTTTGGAAATGTTCGTTTCGAGCCATGTGACTCGATTGTTTAACACTTGGATGGAATCTAGTTCTTAGTAAAAAGGAATGTGCTTTTCAAAACCTGCCCGTGGTTTTGGCGGTGAGTGAGCAGGGTTTAGGAACTGGACTTTGTGCGTTGCGGAGAAGAGAAGTGAGTTTAGGAGATCAAAGGCGTTTGGACAAAGTGGCCGGATATCTTGATTTGGCCACTGCACTTCTGGCGTTTATGCTGGCTAGATTCTGCTTTCCAGGGAATCCTGATGAAGGAATGATGTACCTTTGAGTGTTCTCTCATTCGCTGGAGGAGAGATTGGTTTAGGACGGAAATTTCACGCTGTAGGTTACAGGACCCAATACCGTATCACTAGGAATTACTTTATAAACCGCTCGTTACAGCCTTGTCTCGTGTTCGTTGTTTACAGATAAACCTGAATTTCCCGTTGGGTCAACCTTCGTCAAGAGCATCCCTTAAGAGTCTCTCCTTAAGGCAAGAACTAGTGCACCAGTTTTGAAACAGTTCAACATTTACCTAGATTATTCTATTTTATAGTTAGGTACAGATGGAGACACTAGTAACTTTCAAGCTAAGAAAAATAGGGTAGCACCAATACCTCGATTTTATTTATTTATCATAAAATTTCATATACCTGTTACCACAGTTGATGTGGAGTAATGTTCTATTTAGATCGTTCTCTACTTAGTGAAGAAAACTTTCATTCAGAATATAAAGAAAAAGGTTTAAAATTTTTTGGAGGGCCCATTAATTTTAGTATGGTAATAGTTTTGCTGGATTTTATACTCTAAACTCTATATTGTTTTAAAAATGTGGGGCCAGCCCCGTGGCCTAGTGGTTAAGTTCAAGCGCTCTGCTTCTGTGGCCCAGAGTTTGACGGGTTCGGATCCTGGGCGTGGACATGACACCGCTTGTCAGGCTATGCTGAGGTGATGTCCCACATGCCACAGCTAGAAGGACCCACAACTAAAAATACACAGCTATGTACCGGGGGGCTTTGGGGAGAAAAAGGAAAAAATATCTTTAAAATTAAAAATGTTCCCTTATATTGTTTATGGTAGATTATTATTTTGGTGTCATTTTTATCTTCATCAAAATCAATGTTGAAATGTGTTAGAAAAAATATTAGAAAGCAGAATTGAAATACATGGGCTTTTGGTTTGCTTCTTTTCCTCTAGATGGTTCTGCAGGATACCTCTGCTGAGGAGCATTGAATGCCGCTGGTTAAATTCCCTAGGAATGATCCTCTCCACTTCCAGGGCTAGCATGGTTAAGAGCCAGACTCGAGGGCCAGGATTCATGCTGAGGAGAACCTAATGGATATTGTGTTTTGGAGGGACTCAAAGATTCGATGCTCATCTGGAAATTTAGGATAGGCTGACCTAGATGTCTGCCCTAGAGTAAACTTTAGGCTACGGAATCATTCTAAGCGTTTAAGCCCTGGATAATTTGGTCATTAGCTTTGTAGAGTACTTCTGGGCCACAAGATATCTTTTAACTTATTCTTATTTTGGATCTGACTGTGTGATGAGATAGAAATAAAGTGAGGTATGGGTTATGGTGTCATTTTGGGTCTTCGAGTCTGGATGCTTGTGTTTAGGACTTTATTTGGTTCCAGAAGAAAAATACAAGCATGGTATTTATAAACAAAGTGTCTAGAATTTTAACTAGGAACTGATTTAAATAAATCTTAGAATATTTTAAGTATAGTTTTTCTGAACACAAATTCCTTCCCTTGTTTGATTAGATCTGTAGTATCTGTATTCGAACAAAATGAAATATCAAGCAAAATTTGTTATAATGAATTGTATTTAATGTCATTTTCTCACGAATCCTATGAAATAGGAGTTGTATTTTGTGGGGATTTGGGTCAATGAAGCAGTGTAAGGAAGACCAAGAAAGAGTGTGAACCCGGGCAAAGGGTAGAACAAGGCATTAGTTGCCAGTCTTGAAACTGGCATTCTGTGATTATTGAGTGTATTTTTAATAAAGGATTCTCTGGAATCCTGCTTTGTGCAAGATGTTTTCCATTTCCTCTGGGCAGTGCAAATCAGGGAGTACAGTTTAGCAGATATGATAGGATTGATTTTTAAAAAAATGTCCTACAATAAGAGAGAAAGCCTGCTGAAGAAAGTTGACAAACTCCTGTTTTCTGGAGGTAACACCTTGTCTCTGGTCCAAATTAGAGAGTCGGGCGCTTGGGATGAGATCTGATGGTGGCCTGGGACTCTTGTCCACAGTCTGTTATGAACCTTGGACTGGTGAATCTTGGCTATCTGTGTCCAGACTAGGGAATTTTAATCTTAAAGAACTGAAAAAGTAAGGAACAAAGTTTGTATGAGTGATTTGTTTCTTTCCAGATCTTCCTCTTTTTCTCTCCTGTTGTCTCCTGCTCCAGTTTTTCCAGCCATCTGGTCTCAGTCCCTAGGCAGCTACCATTTCTTTTAACTGCTTATGTGTTGTTTTCCTCTGTTGTTCTAAAAACAAAACAAAACAAAACTTTTATAGCTCATTTTTTGGATTGCCGTCTACTGAAGATGTGGATTTAGCACCCTTATGTACCCTCTCTCATCATAAATTGTGATGTATATAAACGTGTGAATATTTATAACATATAGGAATATATTTACTCTTTAAGTAAATATGTGGTAAATGATATATAATAAATATATTACAATTTCTGTTTAAATCTGTATTTTCAATGTTTTTGTTATTGTGAGGACCAAGTAGATAAGTGAATATTATTTTCTTTTTTATATGAACTTTTGAGTGTGTTTTTTTTCTGTACTTTAGTAATTTCTTTTGTTTTTAACTTGCTGCTTTTCTGTTCCTATAATTATTTCTGCTCTGTTAGCAGAATTCCTCTCTATGATCAAATATTTTAGGTAATCTACCAGTTAATTTTTTTCCTTCTTGGATATCTTCATGAAGCCTTCTATCCTCTGGCTCTAATTTAAGCTGTTAGCTTTCCTTCACTGCTATCCTGGGGAATTTATTTTGTTTCTGTCCTGTGTTGAGTCTCCCTTTTCCTAGATCCCAGGTTTTCCTTTTCTTTTTTGATAGCTTACGTGACTAAAAATGTTTTTATTCTCCCTTGCAGTGATAGTCTAGCTGGGTATAGAATTATAACCTGAGAACATTTCCTTCAGAGACTTCAAGGCAGTGTCTTCATTATCTTGTGATTTCCACTGTTGCTATTGAGAAGTTCAAAGCCATTTGTTTATAACATTTTCCTCCTCTGTAATATTTTACAAGCTTCTTTTTCCTCATGTTCTGAAATTTCACCATAATGTGCCTTGATATTTTTTTTTGTTTTTTAACTGTGCTTTGTACTCGTTGGGTTCTTTACATCTAAGGATTGGTGTTCTTCAGTCCTGGAATTGTCTTGTTTTGTTTATTTAGTAATTATCTTCTCTGTATTTTCTCTGTTCTTCCTGAAATTTCTGTTATGTTGGGTGTTGGACCACATAACTTGATTCTGGTATATTCCCTCTCCTATTGTCCTGCCTGCCTTCTGCTCTCACCAGTTTTAACTTTTTGTTCTAAAAGATTTCCTCAGTTTTACCTTTTAACTTATACTTTCAATTTTTTAATTTCCAAGAGCCATTTTGCTTTCCACCGCCCCCCCCCCCCAACTTTTTCTTCCCCAAATCCCCCAGTATGTAGTTGTATATTTTAGTTGTGGGTCGCTCTCATTGTGGCAGTGTGGGATGCTGCCTCAATGTGGCCTGATGAGCAGTGACATGTCTGCGCCCAGGATCTGAACCAGCAAAACCCTGGGCTGTTGAAGCAGAGTGTGTGAACTCAACCACTGGGCCATGGGGCCAGCCTCCTTTTCTGCTTTTTAAACAGCAAATTCTTGTTTTATGTATGCAGTGTCTTTCATTAATTATGGAGATTTTCTTTTGAGTTTTTATTTGTCCTTGGCATTGTTTTTGTTTACTTCTAGATTTTTTTCCTTCTGGTGATCCATGGATGTCCATTTTAAGTGAGAGGTGCTAGGAATCTAGTTGGAAACTCTGTGTGCCTTGGCGGGCAATTCAGTACTAGGCCCCACTGTAGGTTACTAGCAGGCTTAACTTTTCCTTGGTGGAAAACTGTTACCATGTTAGAGGTTCTCTGGTTACTGTGTTATATGGTTTCTTTCTCAGTTGTTCCATAGATCAGTTTTCTAATTGCCTGCTTTGGGAAAGTGGGCTGGGAATCCTATTTTCACTTTGTAGACTTTGTTTAATACTTGTTTTCAGTTTGTTACCTTATCCTACTTTTTGTAAGTTTTCAGCCTTTTGGGAATTATTCATTGCAAAGAATAAATAGCTAGTCTCCTGCCTGGTTCTGATTGCTTTGTATATAGGTTTTCCCCATTCCTGTGGAACAAGCCCTCTTTTATTGGAAGTCCTTTATATAAGTTATTTAGACTTTGAGGGGAATCTCAGAATTTTATGAATAGTTATTAGGCAATACAAATTCCTTCCCTTATTTGATCAGATCTCTAAGATCTAAGTCCTAGGAATCAGATTGTCATATGATGGCTTATACTTTTGAATAAATTAGATTGGAAATAAATGTAAGAATCTGTAGGATTTCATTATATGTCTGTCTTGGGTGGTTGCTTTTTTATTATCAGAGTATGTGGTGGTAACTTGATTTCTAAAGGATTTAGAGATTATAGGGTAAACTTATTAGGAAAAGTTTATCAGAAAATTAGAAACTTGCATATATCTTACTTTCATTTGAATAATAATATGGTTAATCTAGATTTAAAATTCATTATTAGTAAGTTTTTTTGTTACCAATAATGTGACTTAAGGGATCTATTTAAACTTTTAAAAATAACTGCAGATGAAGTTTATAACTTGGTAACATTGTTTTAAATAGTAGATACTGGTTACCAAGGAGATCAGTATCTTTAAGCTGTAATAATTTGTCTTTTAAAACTATTCTAGGTAGAAGAATACATGTTCACTTTTAGTGAACAAGAGCATGTTCCCAAACTCAATTTTGGGTCGCCCGCCTTTCACGCCAAACCATCAACAACAACAAAACTTCTTCGCCCTGTCACCAACTCTTTATTCACACCAGCAGCTTATAGATGCCCAGTTCAACTTTCAGAACGCAGAGTAAGTATGGTGATATTTTGGCCCATATCTTTTGTAAGTTTAATTTTCTACTTGACACAAACCCTTTTTATATGAAATATTCGAAGTTAGGGAAAATGTCATCATGTCTTGTTTTCTTTTGATCAGTAAAATATTTAGTTTTTCTGCAACTGGTTTTTTGTTTTTAAGTGAAAAAAATATTAATACTGTTCTTTTTTTGTTTTTGGTAGCTTGTCTAGAGCTGTGACATTACAGCAGCTGACGTATGGAAATGTCAGTCCAATACAGACCTCAACTTCCCCATTATTTCGAGGAAGGAAGTAAGTACTTCTTACTTATTTTAAAAGAAAATTTTGCATATCTGAGAACTGTTTCACAGCTTATCTTGTATTAAAATTATGTGGACACTGTGCCCTAAATTTTGTTTTCTGGGACTGGTGTGCTCAGTCCTGTCACAGAATTTTAAAACGTCTATGTAGTTAAAAGATTTTAAGGGATAGTTTTGTTGATTTATTCCTGCCATTATAAGTTTTAGATGGGATGAAGCTCTTTTTCTTCAGATAACTACGTTTTTGTTTGTTTGTTTTCGGTTTAAACATATGAATTTTGAGGGGATGCAATTCAGCCCCTAACACCTTTCTAGTACAGTTACTATTTATCTAAATCTTATACAGGTAAGCTTCCATGGTAAATGTTATTATAGTGGAAATTTCTACATGACATAAAGCTTTCTAGAGAGAATTCAGGAGCTAATTAATTTTAACCAATTTGATTAAAAGAAATCGATGTATCAAAAAGTAATTATAATAGAACTTTGGAGGTGTTTATTAAAATAAGATTTGGCGATATTTACAAGATATTGCTATTTAAAGCCTATATGAACATTCCATAACTTTTATGTCCAATTAAAAATAACACTAGCTAAGAATTGTCGATCACTCACTATGTAGTAGGCATTGTTCTGTAGACTTTACAAATAATGATTTGATTAAGTTTCACAACACTTTATGAGGTAGGTACTATGAGGATAAAGCTAAAGGATACAAGGGTAAGTAGCCAGCCAGTCAGGTAGAAGTGGCATAGCTGGGATTTGAACCCAGGTGATCTGTCTCTGTATCCCAAGCTTAGAAGCACTGTGAGTTGTTTTTCAAAGTTGTCATTGTGGAAAGCCATATAATGATGCTAAAAGTATTGACTTTATTCAGATTTTTTTTTTTGGAAGTTGCCTTGATAGCTCATTTGTGAATCACGAGTGAAAATAAATTCCATTAGTTCATAGTTACGCATATTTTTAAAACAAAAATTGGCATTCTCAATAGAAGATATTCAGCATATAAAGCTCAAAATTACTTTTATGTTTAAAAAACATTAAATGGGGCCATCCTGGTGGTGCAGCAGTTGAGTTTGCACGTTCCACTTTGGTGGCCCGGGGTTCATTAGTTCAGATCCCAGGTGAGGACTTATACACTGCTTGTCAAGCCATGCTGTGGCAGGCGTCCCACATATAAAATAGAGGAAGATGGGCATGGATGTTAGCTCAGGGCCAGTCTTCCTCAGCAAAAAGAGGAGGATTGGCGGCAGATGTTAGTTCAGGACTAATCTTCCTCAAAAAAAATTAAATATGCTCTTATGTTTTTAGCAGTATACACTTTTACCTGTGAGTAGGAGTTCCAGTTATTTTGTGCGTCTGTCAAGGAGAGAGGAATTGGCATAATCCCAAAAGTGTATTGTAATAAAAACCTTCAGGTGGCTATGTCCCATAGAATTTTAAAGCTTAAAAGGAATTAGACCATTTCTGATTGCGTAAAGAATTACATACATGAACAACTTTTTTATATTAATGAAATAAATTTTTTCCAACAAATAATTACTTTTAATTATTTTCCCTTTGCATTTTTATTTTGAAAATTTTTAAGCCTTCAGAAAAATTTAAATAGTACAATGAACACTTATCTGCCATTTACTAGATTCTTCAAAGTTTTGCTTCATTTGTTTTTTTTCTGCCTCTTTCTCTTCCTACCCCTATGTTTTTTTTCTGAACCATATGAAAGAAAGTTGTTGACATCATTTCACTTCACCCCAAAGCACATCAGTACATTCCTCCTAAGAATAAGGGTATTCTCCTGTATAGCCAAATTACATTGGGTGGACTCAAAGAGCCCAAGAAATTTAACATTAATACAATACTATTATCTGAAATGCAGTTTATTTTCAAATTTTCTTAGTTGTCCAATGTCTTTATAGCTTTTTCAAAAAGTAAAATATCTCTTTTTATTTTCTTAAAAAGTGGCACCTGAGCTAACATATGTTGCCAATCTTCTTTTTTTCTTCTTCTTTTTCCCCCGGAAGCCCCCCAGTACGTAGTTGTATATTCTAGTTGTAGGTCCTTTTGGCTCTGCTATGTGGGATGCCGCCTCAGCATGGCCTGATGAGCAGTGCCATGTCTGTGCCCAGGATCCAAATGGGGGAAAACCTGGGCCGCTGAAGTGGAGAGTGCGAACTTAACCACTCGGCCATGGGGCCGGCCCCATAAATATATCTTAATTTGGTTTTTCCTACTGATGAGCCAGAACATGGGTGGACTCAAAGAGCCTTTTTTAATTTATAGCACCCAGTTCACTTAATCTTATCCTCCTTGTGTTAGAGTTTGGATCCTTTACTGTTAGTGGTTCTATAAGTAGGAAGTTTTCACTGCTGAGATGAAACATTGGGGTGGTTCAAATGCAGGAGACTAACTCTGATGTGTATATGTAGTTTGGGGTTTTTTATGTGCATTATTACTTCTCATTTTTCCTAACGTGTTTTTCTAAGGCATCTCTTGTGCTGAAAATAAATATTTTAAGATTCATATAGAGCTAGTAACGTGGCCTTGCTGGAAGAGTCAATATTGTCATCTGTTATGTATATATTTTTAATGGTTTTCTATTTGTTATCAGAAAGTTATGTCTTTAATCACTAAGGTATATTGCTTGTTTTCAGGAGATTAAGCGATGAGAAAAACCTTCCTCTTGATGGTAAACGGCAGCGTTTTCATTCACCCCACCAAGAGCCAACTATAGTTAACCACATAGTGCCTTTATCAGGTGAAAGAAGATACTCAATGCCACCATTGTTTCATACACACTATGTGCCAGATATAGTCAGATGTGTTCCACCCTTTCGAGAAATACCATTTTTAGAACCTAGAGAAATCACACTGCCTGAGGCCAAAGATAAGGTAATAATAATGTAGATTTTAGTTTTACCTTTTGGGAAGTTAATATAAATAATGTATTAAAAACATCAGAAATATCTAATGTCTTGGATTAAGTAGAACATGTCTTTTTTGCACTGTTTAAAGTAGTATTCAACACAATTTTTTGTCTAAATTTGATTTTTTGATTATTGTTAAATGTTCTTTTATGGAAATGCAACTTTCAGATCAGGAAATCAGATTTTCTCTGATTCATAAAAACCTGAGATTAGAGCCCAAAATATTTGATTTCTTAATTTAGAACTCTCTTACTTATTACAGAAAAACAAGTTTTCACGTGGGTATTCTAATGAAGTGTTAAAAAGCATTTTCTTTTGGGATATTTGTGTTTTATGAGGTTTTTGAATGTCAGAAATAGAGAATCCAGGAGTCACTGAGGAAGAAATACAAAGTGATATGATCAAGAAAGATTTATCAAAAACATTTCAAATAAATGAAATGAAGCTATTTAAATTATAGTCCTTGGAAAATGACAGTATCAGCGTTGGAGACAGTAGTTATTTAACACTAATATTAGAAGCATATCTCCTCCTCCTCCCCCATATTTAGTGAAACCAAAAAAAAAAATTCTAGGTAATATAGAAGAGTTTATGATGTAAAGTATCTGCATTCTTTTGGATTGTCTATGGCCTAAATTTGCTGTTTTGCATTTTCAAATCTCCTCTACTCTTGAGAAATATGACATTTGTAAGCTAAGGAGAAGGAGCCTGAAGAGAGTGTAATGACGTTGTTTTACTCCTCTGAGTTCCTAGAGCTGAAAGATAGAAAGTGTGCTGAAAATGCTGGGTCATAAAGGAACACTTGCCTCGTTCCTTAGTTGTGCTGCTTTTTATTCCTCTATCATTCTTTTTTTCTGTAGTTGAGTTAGAATTGCGTCATAAAATTCACTCTTCTGAAGTGTATGATGAAGTGATTTTTAGTATATTTGCAAAGTTGTGCAACCATCATCACTATCTAATTCTGGTACATCTTCATCACTCCTGAAAGAAACCTTGTACCCCATAGTAATCACTTCCCCGGACCACTCTCCCATCCCCCTACCCCTGCCCCACCTCTGGCAACCACTAATTGATTTTTTATCTCTATGGGTTTGCCTGTTCTGGACATTTCATATAAATGGAATCATATGATACGTGGTCTTGCTTCTTTCACTTAGCATGTTTTCAAGGTTCGTCCATGTCATATCATGTATTAGTTCCTTATTCCTTTTTATAGCTGAATAATACTCCATTGTGTAGATGTACTGTATTTTGTTTATGCATTCCTCAGTTGATGGACTTTTGGGCTGTTTCCGCTTTTTGGCTATTTTGAATAATGCTGCTATGAAAACCTGTGTAAAAATTTTTGTGTAGACAAGTTTTTATTTCTCATGGGTATATATACTTATGAGTAAAATTACTGGGTTATGTGGTAACTCTGTCTGTAACTTTTTGAGGAACTGCCAGAATGTTTTCTAAAGTGGCTGCACCATTTTATGTTTCCACCAGCAGTATATGAGTGTTCTAATTTCTCCACATCCTTGCCAACACTTGTTGTCTGTCTTTTTTTTTATAGCTATCCTAGTGAGTGTGAAGTGGAGTTTTTGATTTGCATTTCCCTAATGACTAATGATGTTGATCATGTTTTCATTTGTATCTTGGCTATTTGTGTATCTTCCTTGGAGAACTGTTTATTCAGTTAATTTGCCCGTTTAAAATTTTTTAAAGAAATTCTTGAGTTGTGAGAGTTGTTTATATATTCTGGATACTAAATGCTTATCAGATATATGATTTGCAAACATATTCTTCAGTTCTTTGGTTTGTCTGTTTACTTTCTTGGTGGCGTCCTTTGAAGCACAAGAGCTTTCCATTTTGGTGAAGTCCGGTTTATCTGCTTGTCTTTGCTTGCCTAAGCTGTTGGTGTCATATCTAAGAAACCATTGCCTAATCCAAGGTCACAAAGGTTCATGCCTGTGTGTTATTCTAAGAGTTTTATAATTTTAACTCTTAGATTTAGGTCTTTGACCCATTTTGAGTTAATTTTTATATATGACATGAAGTAGAGGTCTAACTTTATTCTTTTACTGTTAGTCCAGTTGTCCCAGCACTATTTATTAAAAAGATTCTGTCTTTTCTTACTGTGAAGTAGGAAAAGCAGTTAGACAAAACCAGTGAGAGGGAGAAAAAAGCAAAGTAAAATGGGAAAAGATTAACTTGGGATGTTTTGCTACCATCCTTCCCCTCCCTACTTGTTCGTTCTCCTTTCTTTGTTTTCCAATTTCAGAGAAAGTCTTGTAATGCTATAATGGGAAAGCCTGTGGTCTAAATCAAATCAGACCAATTCTTTGAATGAATATATAAGAACCTTTTACTATATGTGGGTTTTCAAAATATGTGTTTAGGTGGGCCATTTTTCTGTGGAATTTATGATGTATAAGTATGGAAGCTCTCTATTTTTGCATGTACTTATATGTTTGTAATAGTTACTAACTAGTAGAACTAACTAAATAACTACTAGTTCTGCATGTGGACTGGGTATATGTTGAGTCTCACTCAGTAAATTTAATAACATAATTCACATTAGTCAGTATATATCATCTAGTAAAGTATAGTTCCATAGCAATAACTTTTTCTTTGCTTAGTAACATAGAAAGAGATACTCTTAAATTTTGTGTTTTTGGAATAAGCAGTTATCTCAGAGGAATAAAGATGTATTTTGTTGTTAAACCAGTTTCTTTGAGTGCTCCTCTCAACCTGCCTAGTTGTGGGAGAAGGAAAGCAAGCACTTAGTTCTGCATTCATTCTGTAAGTGAACACTTTTTAAGAAAACTAACATTTATTGATGTCTCTTCTCTTCTAGGCATTCTCCATATGCTATGTCATTTAGTCTTTTCAACAACCCCATGACATGGATATTATCCTAATTTTACTGAGGCTCAGAAAGCTAAATAACTTGCTCAAGGTCACAGCTAGTAAGTGACACAACCAAGATTTGACCCTTGTCTCTAATAATACAAAGAGGAGGAACTTAAGATGCTTAAAATTAAGAGTAGCAAGATGATGTTTTTAGAACTGCCTGTAATACCGGGTAATCTGTGACAGTAATAGTTAATGTTTATTGAGTGTCTTTCTTTGCCAGCAGTGTGCTCATTGGTTTGTATGGTTGACCTCTGCTACAGCGCAAAGTCAATGGGATGTTCAGTGTGAAAAGTGGAGCAGTGGTTTGGGGCCTTGAATGCACCGTAGAAGGCCACTGAAGGTTTTTGAGTGGAGGAATAGCACAGTCAGATTTGCATTTACAGTATAGTGAAGTTTGGTTTGGAATAAGGAGGGCTGGGAAGGTGGATGATTACCTTGAAGGGTATTAAATTCATTTAGATGAGAGGTGCTGAAGCTTTCAGTTATGGCAGATGGTAGTGGAAAAGATATAAGAGACCGTGCATAAGGCAAATTGATAAAATGTGTGGAGTGATTGAATATAGGGGAGAGAGGGAGGGAGAGAGACATCAATAACTCCAATGATTTGATTCTGGCCTACTAATAGAGATAAGGAAGCTAGATTTTCAGTGTAAGCTAATTGAGGAACTAGTCAAGAGCTATTTGGAACACTGGGAAAATCTGCGATAACATCTGTGCTCTTGAAAAACCTCATGTTCTGCAAATTGCACACTCAGAATATAGGGCTATGGGAAAATAGGGCTGGAGCAGACTTCTCGAAACCTAAAGAATTTTGTAACTAGAACACTACTGACAATAATAACTGATACCTTGGGAAATAACTTGGACAGACCGCAGGACTGGATGCTGCTTCAGGGGATATTAAAAATATACAAAATAGAGTTGAGATGCTAGCTTGTGGTGGGCACTGAGATAAGGCACGTAAAAGTGGAGCTCTGAATCAGTGAGGCTGCTGTAAAGGTAGACACAGAAGGAAATACACCAGCAGAGAGCTGTGTGAGGCTGGGAGTATGCTTTATTGGGTAGGAACCCTGGATGCAGATGCTTATTTTTAAATTGTCTTAGATCTGTAAGGACTCCCGGCTGTGCAGCAGCTGAGCTGAGGGCTTTTTTCCTTTCTCCTGAAGCTTATAATTCCACAATTTCAGCTCCATGTACAAATCAACCCAACTAACATGTTAAATTGATATCATTTTCCTATTTACCAGTTGTCTTTAAGCTAATTGGTATTGTAGAAAAACATATTGTAGACGAACTGGCAGTATATATTTCAGGGCCAGAGATGAATCCTGAAGTCACCTGCAATAATAGTGACAGTTGAAACTCCTAGAGTAGATTAGATTCTATATTTATTTAGTATTCAATAAATATTTGTGAGTACTAGCCGTGTGCTACAATGTTGTGCTAAGTATACACGGTCTCTTCATCATGCGCATACAGTGTAGAGAGAGGGAGAACCATTAGAAAATCATGCAAATCACAGTTTTTTAAAGATATTTATAAGTGCTATGAAGAAAAATTACTGTGCTGAGAGAATGTATTTGAGGTCTCAAGGATGGTCTAGAGAAGGTAATGTTTGAGCTGAGAGCTGAAGGATGAGTAGAAGTTTACTCGTGCCAGTGGTGGGAGTAAAGAGAATGCGTTAGAGGGAAAGAAGAGCATATTTGAAGGTCTTAAGGTAGAAAGGAGCATGGAGTATGCAAAGGACTGGAAGGAGCCCAGAGTAGCTAGAATTTGGTTGATTAGAGGGAGAATGGCTGAAGTGTGGTAGGAGGAGTAGAGACGGGGCAGAGCATGTGAGGACGTGTATGTCATTTTGGTCTTCAGCTAAGAACAGTGGTAAGCTATTCTGGGTTTTTTTAAGGCAGAGGAGAAAGATGAATTAAAATTATTTTGATTTCATTGTATGAAGTTGAACAAGTTGATCAAGCCCAAGTGTGGATGTAGTGAAATTATTATAGTATTCTAGGTGAAAGATAATGGTGCCTTGAATTAGGAAATGCTGGTAGTTAAGATGAACAGAAATTG